AGTCACAGGTGCTCCTTTCTCTGTGTAAGGCATATTCACATACATAGCTATTAAAATACATCTCAGATGTAACAGAAAAGCTTGCTGTTGGGGCAAGGATGGTATTTCCTAAAAGAAATTACTTGAGGCAGAAAACAGCCCAAACTAATCTTGCTTGTGACTATTCTAAGAAGGGACACATTACATTTGTCTGACAAGATTCACAGTTTTGAAACACTTAACTTTGGCGTCTTATGTAAGATCAAGTGCATTGGCTTATAGGTTAAAAATCAGTCTTTGGTAAATCTTTTAGTATATCTTTTATTTCCATGACATAAGCTTCTACTTTGGGAGCCTTCACCAATAATTTCCTTATTTAATGAATGTTATCTATATAGATAATCCTTTAAAAAGTAAAATGCATACATTTATTTCAAGGAAGCCTCCATACAAGTCAAGTGTTCTTTCAGCCAGAAATATTTTCACTGCTAGACACATTTTTAGAAGAGAACAGATTTTTTTTTTCTGTTATCATGGCGGCATCGAATGTCACCCTGAATCTCAACTGAAATGGCCAAAACACTCCCAAAGTTACCCTACACTGTAAAAACTAAGGTGCCGTGTCTGTAGTGATAGATGCTATAAACTGAGTCACACATCTGGTTAATTCAAAAACCAAATGAGTCAATTCATTTGTCCAATAAGCTAAATCATCCAACAGACATAGTCACAGTGAATCCCAGCCATAGTAGCATGGGTCCAAGATCTCTTACCTGAAATGTTTGTGATCAGAATCTGTTTGGTTTTAAAAATAAGTTTGGAGTATTTGAACAACTATAATATGAATATTGAGGATGGATCCCATGTCTAAGCTTGAAATTCATTTCTGTCTCTCACATTCCCTGTACACATAGAAAGTTTACATGGTAGTTTTAATGGACCTGTGTTCTAACTGACATCACACAAGGCCAGCTGTAGAACGTCCCACTGTGTCAGTTCAGTTCTCAAGAAAGCCTTGGACTTTGGAGCATTTTGATTTCAGCTTTGGGGATTAGGAGTGGTCAGTACAACTGTCTTAGTAGAAATAAATAAATATTTACATGATGAGATTTTTAAAGAACCTCCCGAAGAAGGAAGACATGCCACTCTATCTTCCTGATGTTTGCTTTGCTCACCTCTTCTCCAATATTTTCCTTCCTTGCATCATTTTACTTCCTCCCTGCAATCATGGTCTAACAGTCCTGGTCTAAAGTTTCCTTTGGTGTGAAACATTCTTTCAACACTGGATGCATTTCTGAGGCTCGGATTAAAAATCTTTGGAATGGTAACGGGGCATTCAAGAAGGCGCAACATTTCTCTGTTGACACCTCAGAGATTAGAGCTTGCTCACTGGTGATGCTCAAGCCTTCTTAACCACTCTTGTCTGGTCAATTATATTCATTTTTTTTACAACAGAACTTAGAAAATCTCTGAACTGTTTCTATAAACAAGCAGCTTATTGCTTATTCATTGTTTCATGGTCAGATTTGGTCTGGGCAGCTTGTGTGAACAAAAATTCTAGAGTGTTCTATGGCTGGGACACTGAGGCAAATATACAGTCTAGTAGCTTCACAGAGTCAACCTTCCAAAATGCCCATAAACTAACTGAGCAAGAATTTAGGGCGGGTGGTGTCGGCGCACGCCTTTAATCCCAGCACTTGGGAGGCAGAGGCAGGAGGATCTCTGTGATTCCGAGCCCAGCCTAGTCTAGCCTGGTCTACAAGAGCTAATTCCAGGACAGCCTCCAAAGCCACGGAGAAACCCTGTCTTGAAAAAAAAAATTTTTTTTGGCCAAGGCATCAAAATGTGTTTAATACAAAAAGTTAGATCTTTAACACTTTAACACCACAATAAGAGAAGCAGCATGAAGTGTAGCATGAGAGCCCTATTTTTGTGTTGCTGGACATCTGTTAAACAATTTCATATTATTTTTCTCATATCATTTTTAGGCTTTCTTCCAAAAGGTAGTAACAAAATTAATTACAGAGCCTCATAAATATAACTGACCCCAAATTGCTGTATTGTTGCCGTTTTAATGTTGAAAAATTAAGTCTTGATTGCTCTTCTATAATCCTGCGCGTATGGCATGTTAGCAATGAAGGAAAGGAGACGAGATGAACAGAATATATAAAATCATATCCAACTGGCACAGGAGCGACCCCATAGGAAAAAGCAGCAAATGGTGGGAAAGTGGGACTTGGGGAATGAAGGGTGGGAAATTCCTCCGGATGAACATTTGCAAGCCCGGAGGGGGAGACACATTTTTGAAAAATCTGACTCAAGAGTGGAAAAGTTGGCAGCTTTCCAGGGAAAAGCAGAATGATAATGTGAAGTTGATTTAATGTGAAGAGATTAAAGAAGTTAATTATAAGGAACCTGGGTAAATAATTACTAAGATGCAAAACAGACTCTCTCAAGACAGGATAGCCTTGAAGTACTTTGAAGCCTCCCTGATTAAAGAGCAGCACTCAGGTGCAGACAGGATGCCCGCCAAGGCAGGAAGTGGATGGAGTGTTTACCAGGCACAGCCACGAGATGCAATTAAGGGGAGATGCATCCGATGGGGCGAATGGCAAAGAAACCTTTGCTTTTCTCTCCTTGCTTATTTTGTGGTACCTGAGATGAAACCCTGGGCCTCCCACATGACAGGCAAACACTCTACACATTTCCAGTCTGGCTGCCTGCTAAATTTGACGAATGGATCTGCTAGATTTCACCTTCTTGAGAGAGAGACTGCATAGCAAAATATTTATTGCTAAGGGGGTTTAAAACTAGCATAGAGAAGGAGGAATCAGTGCTTTCTGGAATAGACGACAAGAATGTATGGTGTTTTCCCCAGTTGTGTGGCTGTGTTCATTTCTGTGATTCTGATTCTACACCCCTCCCCCCCAGATATTTCGAGGGTGTTCAAGTGTCATTTATGATTGCACACTGCAATATTTTGTGGTTATAATATTTCTGGTTCGTGCAATTTTAATTACTTTCTCTTCTGTATCTAGAGGCTTGCTAGCAGCTACCTTAAAGAAGGTAACCACTTTGCCCTCATCCCCTGCCTGGGCCTTCTCCCACGTTCTATTCAAAACAGTTACAATGCTAATTTCACTATCATCATGCATGCTCTTTGTGAACAAAGAAACAGATTTAGGAACAGCGCCTAACAGGTTCCAGGCACTTGCTGGGACTTTTCTCAATGAGCTTCTCTTTCCAGGTTACCAATACTCTAATGCACTAAGCAACAATAGTTTACACCCTGTTTTGTTCTCCTGCTTGAGCAGGGGAGGGTGGGACCTCTGGAGGCAGCCACACAAGCATGCTACCTCACTGCAGCTCCTTCAGCCTAGCTTTCCTTATTCCTCTAAGAAAAATGATTCCTAACAGACACCATACCAAAAGCATGTCTGATCTCCATTTTCTCCTTAGTGATACATCTCCAAGATTATGCCTCTGCCCCTCTTTTTCCTGTCCAAAAGGTCAGATGAATTTCTGGACACAGGATCAGAGCCTAACAGTGCTGTTTTCACAAGGTCAAGGAGCACAGTGACACCGTGAGGACTCTGAATCCTCACTTCTGTTCACAGGCACCCTTAGGAACTGTTCCTCTGTTTTATAAACTTCAAATACCCCATAAGACATTTCCAGGTTGGGTGTGGAGTTACACAGTCATGAATATCACAATATATTTATAAACCAAAGTTGCAGTGATTTTTAGGTATAGCTAACTATCTTCAATTGTTATGCCAATTATATCCATTTTTGTTATGGGAATTTATGATATGTAGCAAAAATACATATGTTCAAGAGAAATGTGATGTTTCTGCAAAAGAAGCCCTGAAATCAACAAATGCAACTTTTCTTTCCAAACTTTTCTCAGAGAAGATCTAGGCATTGGACCTTGATTTCGTCAATGTCCACTATCTAATGCACTGGAATTTTTATAGGCAACATGAAGCACAGATCTTAAAGATAAAATTGGTAGGTGTGTGGTGCCAATTATATTAAATGAAGCTGCAGGTAGGTAGTCAACATTGTAACTGCATCAACTTACTTAAAAAAGATCTTTTGAAAGATTTTAAGACTAAGCACATCTGGTTTTATTTTTAGCCATTGTTTACTTTTTAATTCCTTATATATGATATTTCTATAAACTTGTTTATATATCTTGTTTTCTTTGATCAGGAACATGATCTACCACCATAGCTCTTTCCAAAGGAAAACCAAGTCTGAATGTTGAAGAGATGCACCCTACTTTGTGCAGGATGTTCTAGTCAGAGGTACAGCTGGCATTATTGCCACTTGGGATTTGTCACATCTGTTAGCATCATTCTCTACCAGAACCCTCAACCCTGCAGTCACTGCAAGTCAAGTTCTTAAGCTGACCATGGCTTGTAACCCTGGGAGGACCCAGATAAAAAGCTTCTAGTTTAGACAAAACACCTAGCTCAGCCTTGGTGCTGTCTACCCTTCAGTGTTTAAATTTATTTTTAATTTCTTAGCATATGCTCTAACCACCAAGGTATAGCCACAGCCCTAATCTTTCTTTGACCATTATTGTCTTTAGACCCCAGGTTTTGCTAATAAGGCAGCAGCAGCTCTGCAAAACTAGCTTTATGGTATGCTCTCTTCAACTCTGTCCTCTGCTCACCCAGTGGATAGCAAGCCAGGCAAGAAACAGCCCCAGAGATTGTCCTTGCAACTTTCTCCACACACATTTCACCAATGGTCCTGTCACACAGGTTGAATCAGTTCATGTAGAACAAGCCATGAACACTTTAGTGTGGAAAAATAGTATTATATAAAGCTTAATATTAAACATTATGAAAAATACATATTTACAGGAGAAACTACAAAATACAAGTATATACAATAATATCTGTTACCTTTAAATTACATAAATTCTTTAACATTCTCCAGATTAATAAATTATACATAGTATCAACAGAAATAGCTGGCACCTCCACAGGGTGTGAAGCAAGATCTGTTTTTTAAAAGTCACACAGTGAAAAACTTTCATCCAGGGCATTTTCAGGGGCATCTTTAATGTCTCGAGTAGATTGTATCTGGAAGCAAAAAATGGCATAATTAGAAATTATAGAGCAGTGGTTCTCAACCTGTGGGTCGCGACACCTCTGGCAAATCTCTGCCTCCAAAAATGTTTACATTCCAATTTGTTAACAGTTGCAAAACTACAGCTATGCAGTGGCAACAAAAATCATCTTATGGTTGGGGGGGGGTCACCACAACATGAGGTGTATGAAAGGGTCGCAGTTAGCAAGTTGGGAGCCGGTGTTCTAGAGGGACGAAGCAGGACTGTCTCTGCTGTTCTGCTTATGAAATTTATACATGGAATGCACGGGTGGACATCACTAAACTTCATGTGATTTAAGATAGAGCCACTGCGTTTAGAAGCACAGATTCCTGGGCTTGGAAGGGACTCCTGATGCCTCCATCCTGCCTCTGAGGTACAGAGGGAGCCACAAGCCCAGAGGCAGAGTAACTTGCCCAGGTTATATAGCTTGTCCATACTAAACAGTTCTGAATCCTAATTTTTGGGATGGTTGTTATCTGTTTGGAACCCACAGTCAGCTTCTTTCAGGCACACCCAAGATTTGTTTTAAAAAGATTCTCAGACAAGTTAACACAAGACAAAGGAACCCCCACGATCTTACCCCACCAACCTCCACCATCCAGGAGTTTCTTAAAGAAACTGACATGCAAAAGCCTTAATTTACTCCACTGATAAATTAGGGGGTTATTATTTACAACACAAAAGATTATCTGATTTACAAAGCAGTCCTCTAAATAGCTCTCTGTTTGGTTCTTTACAGCTCACTAAATAACATGCTGGCTGGGTGGGCAGGAATTGAGAATGCTAGGGGACAAGTAAACATTAGGAGATGTCTGCTGAGCTGCACTTAGAAACAGAGAAGGCAGGGCCCAAGACCGTGTGAGTAGATCTCAGACCCATGGCAAAGAACCGAGGCCTGTAGTATCCTTTCAATCTAGAACCATGCTGTGGTACCTTTGGCTGTTAACGGTGGGCAAGGGCAGGAAGTCTCTTCCTGCCCATTAATTATCCCTTGATGAAAGTGTGCCCAATGAAGTTTGTAAGTTACTTTATTATTGAATTTTTTATTTGAAAGATGTTACATTCTTGTTCTATAAAGTGATTTATAAAGTAATAGAAAAACATCGACTGGTTGTTGTTTAGAGATATTAATTTTACTGTCAGATTTCTTCCCATTCGTTTTCCCCCCCCCCCTGTATGCATTGTTCCTGTTCATTTTACTTTCTGCATTTCTTAATTTGTGCCATGGTTAAGCTATGTTTTGTCACTCAGTTTCATCCCTGGTGTGATGATCCTGGAAAGTGTGGGGATACCTGTATGTAGTGGACCAGGGGAGAGGAGACCAGAGATATAGTTGGTCTCAGAGTGGGTTAGGTTTCCTAGTTTTTATCAAAGAACAAGCATGGTTCCTTCCTGCTTTTTCTCTCACCATATAATCTCATCTGACCATATATGTGTTATATATATATATATATATATATATGTGTGTGTGTGTGTGTGTGTGTGTGTGTGTGTATCATCTTAACTAATATAGCTAGCTGATGGGCCCCATCAGAGGCCAAATGCACAAAGTTAGCCTACTCACAGACTCCATTTCTTTCTTTGATTTTTTTTAAATCTTTGTGATTATGCCTACTAAATGTGAGCTCTATCACGGAGCTACAGCCCTACCCCAAACCTCTTATCTTGATAAAGTATCTAGTTTCAAGTATTTTATTTTTTATAGCAACCAAGACAAACTTCTTCATAAGGGTATCCACCCTATGACAATATTGATGCCAGGTGTGGTGGCATGTGCCTCTAGTCAGAGTAGAAGGAATGCTTCGGCATAGGACTCCAAGGCCAGCTAGGCAACACAGCCTTCCTCTCACACAACAAAACAAAAGAACCCGTTCTTAGCGACAGCCCTGTACTATTATCAGTGAATGTGCTCTGGTGTAACCAGTCCCTGCTGTGACTTGAATATGACATCTGTTTCAAGGGTCCGTTACAGTCAAATGCTTGGTCTGCAGGGTGACAGTGTTAGAAAATGATGCATCAAAACCTTTGGAAGATAGTGAGTCCTCAGAAGGAAGCTCTCCAGGGATTGCGTAGTGTTGCTTCTCCCAGCTATCTCTGGCACTCCTGACATTGCTATCCACTATTCACCACGAGGTACTCACCAGAACTGAGCTGACACAAGTGTCATGCCCTTGAACCTCCAAAGGTGTTAGCTAAATGAACTTTCTGCTGTGCAAATGTCAGCCACCTCGTATATTTTGCTGTGATAATGCCAAGCCCCTAGTGTAGTCCTTGGCTGCATCAGTGTTTTTCACTTGGACCAGTAACTGAAAAGGCTCTATGCACAAACTATATTCTGTATACTTAAGAAAACAGGAAAAATACCCAGTCACAGATAGGAATGAGTGAAAGACACTGAAAACCTGACTAACAAATTCTTCATCGCATCCATTTTGTTATCAATCTCAGTTACAGTTTCAGCATGTTCTTCCCCCATGGTGAGCCTTAATTCTTAGAGAGGGAATGTTAAGGGAAATCTTTTGTAGACAGAATGCTTTGGCAGGCAGAGGAATGAGAGTCTGGGGTTGTAGCTCATTGTCAGAGCATTTTCGTGCCACGTGTGAGCCTTGGGTATCATGCCGGCACTGAAAAAAATGTTAGGATATGGAGTTTCTGCTTAACTCTGGGACCCTTCCCCATTCTGCCTCTCCCCTCTGTTGCTACTTTTGGGGGATTCTTTGGGTAGAAAAAGATATGGGAGGACCATGCTGGAGGAACAATGAGATAGTACTGGTTTCCAGACTGAGTTCGATTTTGAAAACTGAACTTTAGGACGGGCGGACTGAAAGCCAGCGAGATCCACTCTTACCTCTGTGATACTCTGGATTCACATTTTCATAGATTGGAAACAGGGGGTTTTCTTGTTCGTTGCGCAATTTTCTGGCTCTGAGGACATCTCTCACACACTGATGCAGATATATGTACTGACACTGTGGAAAGTCAGAGAACACGTCATAGGAAGGTGGCCTCCAGTAGAAAAAAGGTAAGGGACCATCATGAAATGCCCACAGATCCTATTTGGTCTTATGCCACTTTGACCTTCTGAAAATTGACTGATTATTTTTACATGTGTGCATGCCTGCCTGGGTTTATGTGCACCATGTATGTGCAGAAGGCCTTGGAGGCCAGAAGATGGGATTGGTTCCCTGGGACTAGAGTTACGGGTGTTACCACCCATATGGGTGCTGTGAACCAAACCCAGATCTTATAAAAGAGCAGCAGGCACACCTAACAGCTGGGCCATCTCTCTCTCTCCAGTTCGACATAACTTCTTTTTGTAATTAAATTGCTTGTGGATGGAAGAGGTAAGCTGTGAATGAACTCTGTTATACTGGGCCATGACTTAGTAATACATTTTTTGACAGTGATCCACCACGGGTTTGAAACTAATTACTCTCTATTAATTTGCCTTGTCTTAAATATCAACTATTCTTTTCCCAATAGGATGTCCCTTCAAAAATTGATTACTTCTAGAATCATCAAGTTGTTACTGTACCCCACTTAGTTCTTAATGAAAAATAGAAAAAAAAAGACTAATATAAGCCTCAAGTCACACATGATTTTTTTTTTCTAATCGGGGAAGCCTTGACTAAGCACTGGTATATTCCATTTAATTGAATTCAACTAATCTTTGTAGTATTGTGTAGGATTTATGAAATTACATGTATAGCCATTTGGTTCATGATTCCTGAGGGCAATGTTTAGCAAAAGGGCAGACATACATCCCTAGAAGACAATAAACTAGAGTTGTTTTATAAAAGGTTTGTGCAGGACAGGAAGCTCTTGAGAACATTTAGAGGAGAAAATATCAAATGAGAAAGAAAAAAATGACCTTGAAAGAATCCGAATAAAGTATGACATTCCACATGATAAAGAAACATGAAAGCCAGAGGGGTGTTCAGTGTGGCTAAAATACAGGTTGCCTGGGGCATAGGAGACCCTCTGGATAGTCTCTTAAATGGGACAGGAGACACTTGATCCTACAATGAATGCCCCAGTGTTTCTTCTCATGAGAGCAATCAGGATGCCCGACTATTCTCCCTCAAAAAGGTTTTGCTGCATCAAAATGTCTCTCTGAGTTAGACTGCAAATCTGCCCCAAGGCAGAAGGATAAACAGAGGAAGACATTTGCAAGTCCCTCTATTACCTCTTCATTTAGAAAGCCTCACAGTTTGATACATTCATCAAAAATTACCATTACCTGTGTTCCTTTGTATCCCAAGATCTCAAGGTGCAAGAAATTTAGGAGCACCTGTCCCTACGGACTCAGACAAATTGAGTAAGGTCTCAGGAATTCCTTGCTCCTTTTCTGAAGCCATCACCCACAGCACTGAGTGGTGAGTATATCCCTCTTCACCCATGCCCACTCACACAGCCAAGCAAATCAGCTAGGCCTTTGGTTTTTATCTGAGTCAGACCTTGAGCCAAGAAACAGTTCCCTGGTCTGAGCCAATGTGTGGACTCTGAGGAGACAGCTCAGGGCACCTGTATAGGCAGGAAGACATGAACTTGGAACTCCAGCACTCGAATAGAAGAAAGCCAAGTGTGGCGTTGCAGGACTGTAATGCCAGCCATGGGGAGGTAGAGACCGTTGCATCCCTGGGGTTTACTGGCGAGTCATCTAGTAAGTGGTCAGTGAGAGACCTTGTCTCAAAAGGTAAGGGGAACAGCAATTGAGAAAGACATGCAATGTTCACTTCTGGCTTCCTTAGGTACATACCCCAACACACATGCATATGCACACAGGAAGGAACTCACACACGCACGTGCACACACACTATACATGGATATCTCCCAGAAGATAATGAGTTTGGTGTTAAGCATTTTGAGTTGGAGGTGAGTGTCATGTGTAGGTGGAAAAGCACAGCAAAGCAGGCACTTAGATAAAAGTTAGGGAAGGAGAATCGGGTTTGGGGAACGGGTGTGCTCCTGGGAGTGGAGGGCCTATGTGGCCAAGAAAGAAGATTGAAAGAAATAAAGAACTTTATCTGGAACTCAGACACTGAAAATAAAAGAGTAGAGAAACAAGGCCACTGAGCCTTCAAGGAACTTTGGTTCATGGCAGCTGCCTCTGCTCTGGAAGCCAGACAGTGATGGTCTAACAGAGACCCTGCTTGGAGCCAATGTGCAGCCCAAGAGTTTGGACCGGTTCCTGGAAGTGATGTATGACTCAAGTTGTCTCTGAAACTAACCAGGAGCCTGAACACACACACACACACACACACACACACACACACGAGCACACACACACTCAAGATTACTTACAATGTGTTAGGTATTTCTTCCCCAACTTACAAGTCAATTATAGTCTGAAATGAAACACTGCTCACGAGGAAGACCAGAGACTCAGTTTCAGGGGAGTCTCTCTCTCTCTCTCTCTCTCTCTCTCTCTCTCCTCTCCTCTCCTTTTCCCTCCCCCTATCTGTTTCTCTCTCCCCCCAGAGACAGGCAGGCAGGAAGGAAGGAAGGAAGGAAGGAAGGAAGGAAGGAAAGAAAGAAAGAAAATACACTTCCTAGGAGATGATAGAATGGTGCTGCCTGAATTTGGCGAGTAGATGCTGCCTGAAGGAGAGGCAAGGACACCAGGCTTTTGCCAAATCTGGCACAGAAGGTGAGTTCCACAGGATATTAATATATGCTGCACCAGGAATAATAGGGGGCAGGGTAATTTTAGAATTGCGGGTTGAACAGAGCTCAAAGGGAAACTGTAGGATACTGGTTGTGGAACACAGCTGCTTGTGTGGTTTCCATGGCTACTGTGGTTGTACATGGAACTTTTCATCCCCAGAAAGCCTTTTAGATCTTGCCTTTCCTCCCTGAATTACTTGAAGAAAAGGTTGGGAAGGCCTGAGCTTTGGAAGGCGTTAATGTAAAAGAAAGACACATTTGGTATACATGAGGCGTATGTATAGACCTGACTGTGGGGCTATAGGGCAGTGGCTTGGTAGTCAAAGGCTAGGATTTTCCAGAACAGGGTACAAACTTAGCCAATTCATGGCTATGGATTTTGTGCCAACCTTTTTAGCCTTCGTTTCCTTGCTTGGAAATGAAAACAATATCTTCAAGCAATCTGCAAATTTGCTCAAAGGGAAACCTGTAACCTTCTCAATGGATATACAGCTCTTGGTGTATCCAGAGATGAGGATGTACATGAGGAGTGGAGCACGGGGAGAGAAGAGATTAGAAGTTTCCTTATGGAAGTATCTGTGCTTATCTACCAGTTCCTAACTGGGCTGGTCTAGTCAGCCTCCCACTTATAATGCTTTCCCAAAGTATGCCGTCTTTCTTCCTGCCTACCTAAATGAATTCTTCCCTGAGATGATGCTCAGTAAAGAACATACTATGTACAGAAGGTCACCGAGATTTGCTTCAAAATAAGAGCTCCTAGAAAATACACATGTTCACTTTTCTCTCTTGCTAAGGTGTCCTGAACAGTTTTGGGGTAGAGGTAATGGTGTGGGGAAGGGCACTGGTGTCCTTCAGCTTAGAAATCTCACCTCAGTCTGGACCATGTGAACCCTGTGAAGTCTTAGGTCATGCACTGCTCCATAAATGTCCACAGAGTCCTTGGAGTCCAACTGCTGGAGGATCCGGTCCAAGGCAACGAATGTTCCAGTTCTGCCCACACCAGCACTGTAGAGAAGCAAACAGAAGAGGGGCCTCTGATGTAATTTCCCTTCCTTGACTACATCAGGGGATTCTGGCCATCTTTCTTCTGTTTCTCAAATTGTGGAAGAACATAGGAATCTTTCCTTCCACAGGCATGCTCTCACTCAAAGAAAGATAACCCAGAACCCCCATGGTCTACCTAGAACCTCCATGGTATACCTAGAGCCTCCATGGTCTACCTAGAGTCCCCATGGTCTACCTAGAGCCCCTATGGTTTGCCTAGAACCTCCATAGTCTACCTAGAGCCCCCATGGTATACCTACAGCTCCCATGGTATACCTCTTCCCACTTCTTCCTAACCCTCATCCCATTGATGTAAGCACCACTATGACCTTGGTATATATCAAGCCCATGCCTATCTTTATAATTTTCCTCCATACCTGCAAATCTGAAAAGAATATTTTATACATTGTGAACATTTACTAGAACGCTTAAGATACTACATATTCTTTTGCCAAATTCTCTACTCAATACTGTAAGTATAGTTTTGAGATTTATCCATTTGTAATACAGAACTAATTTCATCTTTTTCCTCTCTCTCTCTCATTTGCTCTTTTTTTGTTCCCTCATTGTTTGCTTGCTTTTGTTTTTATTTTTTTGAGGAAGAGTCTTGCTATATACTCATGCCTTCCTGCCTTAGTCTTCCAAGTAGTGTTGGGCACACAGGCACATGCAACTATGCTTGGCTTAATTCCATCTTCTTTTAATTATTCTGAAGAAGCCATAAACCATTGCCAGTCCACTCCATATTGTAGAGCATGAGATCATTTTTCATTTTCTATTAAAAACCATACAGCAGTGAAAATCATTGTGTATCTATGTGGCAATTGCTCAGCAGTTGGTAGCTAGAAGGAGCATGGCTGGGTTGGCTATAGGGTATAAACAATTTTGCTAGATGTTGTTAAATTACTTCTTAACAAGGGACTCTGGATGCTGTGCAAATTGATGATACCAAGATGATTTTGCTCTTATTCAACCCAGACAAAATTAGAGCCATGAATACAGAAAAGAGAGAGTCATGCCTGCCTGCCCACTTCAATAAATACTTTCATAAGGATTTTCTAGAGCCTACAGGGAATTCCTTCTCATTCTCCATTCACACTATGCTTTGCATGTGCTATACACATGCCAAGGTTTCTGCACCAATGTTGTCTTTAGCATTTACCCATGGCAATCCATGTAAAATGCGCTCCATATAACACTTGCCAAGCAAAGGCAAGCAATGCTACCTCCACCAGTAAGCGAACAACAACTCCTCCCTTAGGTTATTAAGACCAGTGAAACTTGTGACAGAGTAGCATACGTAAATGTCCTCACTTTTGTCTTAAAAACTCAACTTTGAATACATCCATCATTGACTATGGCACCCTTTCCCACTGCACTGTTCTACTATTCTGAAATAAGTGTCAATATTATTTATTTATTTGTTTGTTTTTTGAGACAGGGTTTCACCATATAGCCTTGACTGTCCTAGAACTCTCTGTAGAACAGGCTGGCCTCAAAAATCACAGAGATCTGCCTGCCTCTGCTTCCTGAGTACTGGGACTAAAGGCATGCACCACCACCACCCAGGTCAATATTCTTTGTAGACACTCCCTCTGGTTATTTTGGTTGGCAATGAACACATTTATATGATTCAGAACAATTCTCCAATGTTTCTGGAAGAAAATGCCTGCCATTCTTCAGGAAACAGGAGACCCCTGAGCATTTCATATTCCCATTAAAGCACTGGGGTCCAAAGACATAAAAGCTAGGGTGTGTGGCTGCTGGGGAGAAATTAACACACTTGACATTTCTTTTACTGTAGCAATTCTCTGCTCTTTATTTATTAGTGCCATTCAGTTAGGGCTATCAAAGTGTGTTGCAAACATTAATTAGCTAAACACTAGGCTGCCCTGAGAGAGAAAGATGGCTTGTTAAGCTGATTTTATGGACAGATGAACTGAAGCAAGGAAAAGTCAAGAGAGAAAAAGAAATTTAAGAGCAAAACTTGGCTACAGACAGCTGAAATCAGTTAGCTAAGTCCCTTTGCCTGCCCCTTGCCTTCCTTCCTCCATGTAAGGACATAGATTTCTTTTCTCTGGAGGGCACACATGGTTTCAGAGATAAGGTCTCTAAAAGACACCAATCTGTCTGTGGCTTGATCTTGAAGCTTCCAGAATTGTGAAAGATAATTTTCTTGTTTATAAATTGCTGAGTGAAGGGCCCCAACATGGCAAACTTAGGCTATAGCATGACAAACACAGGTACCAGCTTGGGAAGCATGGCGTTGACAGGTTTTGCCTTTCATCTTCTTCCTCCTAGCTAAACCTTTAGATTTACATTCCCAAAGCTAGTTACCAGGGTCTATTCTCTTGTTTGGCCAGGGACTCATTCCTGAGGCTGATCACCAAGGTCCAATTATCAAAACCCCAAAGTCCAGGAATCAAAATTTATTATTTTGAGTACCATAATTAAAATACCCAGTCAATACTTACCAAAACTCCCTAGCCCTTTTCTCTCTTAAAATCAACACTTGCAAAGTGATTTGCTGCCCTTTCTGTGCGGTTCAGATTCAGCCATCTTGTCTCTCTGCCTTGCTTAATAAAGGATCTTTTGGTGTGGGAAATTGGTGTTTGAGTGTGGTCTGTGCCTAACCCGGCCTCCAGAGGGGATCACCCCTAGTACTTCATCTCTTCACCCAGCCTGCAGTATTTTCTTATAGCATCACCAGTGGATAAGAGCATGCTACTAGACCTGGAGGGGAGTGAGCTCATTAGGTAGATAAGGCCTCTTCAGCAAGAGAAGTGAGAAAGCTATCTCAAGGAGATGAAAGTAGCAGGAAACCACAGAGGAACCCTGTCTCGAAAAAAAATTAGCAGGAAGTAAGAATAAGTCTGTGCACAAGACTCAGAAAGAAAAATGACATGTTTTCTCTTTTATTCAGGACCTAGATGAAAAGTTACATGAGGTAGTTTGAACCGGGTGATATCTCCCACAGTTTGGGACAGTTGAACACTTGGTCCTCAGTTAGTGGTGCCCTTTGGGTAGGTTTACAGTGTGTGACCTTACGGGAGGAAGTATGTCACTATGGGCAGGCTTTGAGTGTTTGTAGCCACGCCCCTCTTCCTGTCAACTCTCTACTTGCTTACAGTTGAACATGAAGCTCTCAGGTGCTGCTCCTACTGCCTGCCATGCTCCTGCCAGTTGCCATGTTGTTTCTGCCATAATGGACTCGAAACCTCTGCAACTATGAGCCCAAAGAAACTTTTTCTCCCATAAGGTGTCTTGTTCATGTTTATCACAGCAATAGGAAAGCAACTAATAGTGTGTGTGTGTGTGTGTGTGTGTGTGTGTGTGTGTGTGTGTGTGTAATAAAACTAGAAAGGGGGCCATGAGAGAACAGAAAGTGATCTCAAGAAGGAAGAAGGCAATGGATTACATGTGATATGAAAGCAGAGGGTAAGGAAGGAACCCATCGGAAGAAGGCAGGCTATATGGGGGATGGGATGTGGGGGAGGAAAACACACAAAAATAAAGTGTAAGGACATATATGTATGAAAATGTGATAGTGAGACCTAGTGGTCTGTATGATAATCTAAAAAATTAATTAAGGAACTGAAGAAGCAAAACAAAAAAATAAACTTGTCAAAAAGAGTCAACTCCTTGGCTATAATGTAAGCGGAAATGAGGAGACAGACAGTGGACTGAAGGTGAGATGGGACCATGGTGGAGGGCGTGGAAGTCACTTAAGGATTCTGTATTTCATGCAGTAGGGAAGAGAACAAGAAGGGAGCGAGGGGGAGAACAAAGTGGGAGGTGAAGAAAATGGAAAGGGAGACACTGTGAAGAAGAATGAGGTTAGAGGAGGGAGGAGAGCACGATGCACTCCCTTGAGATGAAGCAGCCTGGTTGGCTTGGAGAAACCCCATGCACCATTCGCCTTTGCATTGTTGCAGACTCTTACTGATGTCACCTCCACCTTGACAACCTCTCAGGTTGCTCATACCTGCAGTGCACTACGGTGGGCCCGGCTCCCGGGCTTCTGTTGATGTAGTCCCTGACAGTCCTCACAAACTGGATCAGGGACTGGGTGGTCTCTGGGACTCCATGGTCTGGCCATACTGTGTAGTGAAAGTGACGGATGAGTCTATGTGCATCCAACTGTTCTTCCTGCAGGAATGGAGAACAGATGATAAGAGGAACGACTGAGGGAAAAACTCAAGGACTCTGACAACTGTGTCACACAAGAGTTTTCGTGGTTTGAAACTATGGGCTACGAACCGGGAAAGGCGGGATTCACAGAGTCTCCTCTGGGTTTTTTTTTTGTTTTGTTTTTTATTCCCCTCTCCCTCCTTCCTTGCTTCCTATTCTTTTTCTGAGATAGGGTCTCTTACAAGAGGCTTGCCCCAAGTTCTCTATGTATTTGAGGATGACCTTGAACTTCTTCTTGCCTTCACCTCCCCAAATGCTGGGGTTCGGAATATATAACCACAGTACCTGGCTTCTAAGTTGGGTTTTAAAATGAAGTCAAGCAAACCAACATACACTGCATATCTTAAATTCTCTGATGGTCCACTCAGGTAGTACGGACTCTGACACCATCTGCAGGATGAGGTCCCCATAATAGAGTGAGTCCTGGTCTGCTGGCCAGTAATGGTCACACTTTACCTGGAAGAGAACAGACAGGAAAAATAAGTCTGTAAACTTGACAGTGAGGTGAATCGCTCCCTCCTTAAAATCCCTTCTTAAGTTAGGGGTCCAGGATCATCTGCTAAATAAACTTAACCATTTACTTTCTATTAACCTGCTCATGGCCAGTGACACAGTTGGGCTGCTATTCCAAGGGATAGCAAGATAATGCCGCCCCCACCCCAAGCAGCTCCCAATATCAACGTTTTGATTCATCTACTTTTGGGATAACTTAAGGTTTTTTGTTTTTTCCTTAATGATTTCTTCAGTGTCCTGGTCCCACCCACTGGCTAATATAAACAATAACTTAAAATCTCTTGTTCTCTGCTCAGTGGCAGAGAAGCCTTGCATAGCATTGAGAAGTTCTAGGATTCCTTCCCAGAAACTTCAGAGAAAAGGGGAAAAATGTTCTTTCTGAAGAAAAACCTAATCAAGCAGAGGAAGGCATTGTCTTTCTGGCCCTATTTTGTTCAGATTTTTATCACTTTCCTTATCTGGCCACATGCCAAAGAGATCTTTGAGAAGTTAGAACTTTCAACTAAACTTGTATTTACATGCACAAAGAGATGAAGATGGAAATTTGAGTATTTGTTTTGATATGTGTTGTGGAACATATTAATTAAAATTGATATATTTCATTAGATGCATATTCATTGACTATCAATGTATATTTGTATGTCTGCATGAAGATTAGGGTATCAAATACGATGAACAGGGCTTTTATTTTACTGTGTATGGTGAGGCAAGCATACGTATATTGAATTTCTGTTCACATGGAAATGTAATATGTTTACATGGATATGCTTTCTAGCCATTTCATCAGTATTTATAGTTGCATATATTATATAAATATCATCTAATAAGACTAGTCTTGAGGAGAAAGACCTGGGTCCCATTCTAGCCAGGATGATGGAAGATGGTCTGGAAATCCAATATATACATATGAAGCTCTTTACATTTAGTCTTTTAATCCTAAAAGTAGCTATATAATGTAGAAGATTATAAATAGGGATTATAAATATGAAAGATTTTAGTAATAGTTCAGACAGATATTTTACTTTGTGTTATCCAGTACAGCCTAACATACTTTTTTTTTTTTTGTTTCTTGTTTTTTTTTTGTTTTGTTTTGTTTTTTTCGATACAGGATTTCTCTGTGGCTTTGGAGGCTGTCCTGGAACTAGCTCTTGTAGACCAGGCTGGTCTCCAACTCACAGAGATCCACCTGCCTGTGCCTCCGAAATGCTGGGATTAAAGGCGTGCGCCACCAACGCTTGGCCAGCCTAACATACTTCTGTGAGGCCCCTCATCTCTGGTGGGGTCTCTCATTACCCATACACTGTAGGACAGAGCATACATGGGGTCAGGCATTCTTCCCACACTTCCCACTATCTCAGGCTTCACATGCAAACAGCTTTGGACAAAATGTCTGACTGAGAATTTAAAACAGGATCCAGGTTGTTTTAAAATCAAATGGCTTAATTCCCTAACAGCTTTCTCCCAGGGTCTCTTCTTGCGTTTGTGGGTGTGGCTCTGGATGGAGAAGGAGGACAAAATCCCATCAGAACAACAGCAGAAAGCAAAGCCAGGGAGGCAGGAAGACTGTTTACTCACTCGGCCTTTCTCAACACACTGGGTCACCATGACGATGTTGTGAACATTTTGTTCCCACGCCATTTTCCAGAAGTCATCCTTAGTGCCAGGAAGCGGTCCCTGAGTGGCGATATATTCTCTTCTGAAGTTATTACCCTGTGATGAATTTACAATACGGAGAGTCAAAAACAATGGGCTCTTCAGAACTGTAAACAAAGGGATAGTCTGCAGATTAGAAGGTATGGAGATCTCTGCCAGGCCCTGGAGCGGAGAATAAGATATGAACACAGTGTTGAGGCTTAGGAGTAGGAAGGATAAAGGCAAGAGCATTGGACCATTGTTCAAAGGCACATTCCTCTTTATCAGCCGGGTCTGTTGTAAAGACAAATGGAGGATTCCAGCCATAACATAGAAAACCATTTTACTCTTGTTTGTGTGAGCCTGTGTGCCTCTGTGTGTGTTTGTGTGTGTGTCTATGTGTACCCATGTGTGTGTCTGTGTATGCCTCTGTGTGTGTGTGTGTGTGTGCCTGTGTGTGCCTGTATGTGTATGTGTCTGTGTGTGTGCCTTTATATGTGTCTGTGTGTGTGCTCAGTGTTTGTCTATGTGTACCTATGTGTGTGTATCTGTGTGTGTCTCTGTGTATCTGTTTAGTGTGTGTGTGTGTGTGTGTGTGTGTGTGTTTAAATTGTTCAAAGGACTGATTTTAGTCTTTTTGGATAATTGACATCACAATAATTTGGAAAGAGATATCATGCAAAGGAAGCTTAATGAAAAATGAACCATTGATGCCGTGAGCTTTCATCAGATAGTGTGCAGTGGGTCTGGACATTCGTAGATCTGACTGAATTCTAACCATGGTGACCTAGATACTTCCACTAATTCATTCTTCACTTTAGCATTACAGAATTAGTTTCAGGTCTTAGTGGAAGCTCATTTCTCATTGCCTTTGCTCAAGATCTCTGTATTACATCAGCTCTGCCATCCACAACCCAGCCACCCACACATACTGCTTCTCAGCTTGCTACTCTTTATTTATCCTGAGCACCTTGTCATCTTCCATTTTCCTCCTCTTCCTCCATGTTCTGTGGTAACCTCTAGTCTCTTGCTACTACTCAGTGTGGTCCTTGGGCTGGTAGGGATTGGATTACACAGGGGCTCATTAGAAATGCAAAACACCAGACTCTACCTACCTTTGCTAGATAGAACGGATGGTACTGAAGAGTGAATGGTGTTGTTGGTTCATATAGGAGACACTGCTCAGGCATGGTAAGCATGACACTGCCCTGTGACTCTTCAAGGTCTTGACTGTTCAACAGTTCTCTTAGAGACATAATCCCTTTCTATATCTCAGTGTTTAGATTATAGCTATCACTTAATTGGCTAACATCTATTGAATGTATAGGCGATAATTTGAGGTATTAACCTAATTTTTTGGAAAAGGAATTAGGGGCTCAATGAGGTGACAGAACTTGTTGTGTCATGGAGCCAGTCAGGGACAGAAGTGAAATTCAGATCTGGGTTTTTTGTTTTTGTTTTCGTTTTTGTTTTGAACTTTAAAGCCTCTTTCCTTGTGGTATATGTGAGAGGTTGGCAAGATGTAAGCCAGTATCAGATCCCAGAAGTTAACACAACTTTGAAGTGTGTGTGTGCATGAGTGTGTGTGTGTGTGTGTGTGTGTGTGTGTGTGTGTGTGTTCCAAAAGTCCAAGTAACAAAAGGTTGACTCTTTTGGCATGGCAGCCTTAGCCATGGGGGCCATCTCCTTTGAGCAGTTCTAATCTTACTTATCTCAGGACCACAGAAAGAAAACAACCTTTGAACATGCATCCTGGGTTCATGAGAATTGCATCTGACTGTGGCCATTGTGAAAAACAGGGCTTAGCAATGATTTGAGGCACAGCCGTGTTTTGTGGCAACCAGACACAGTCTTTTAAATATTGCAACTGTGTCTTGACAGAACAGTAGGGCAGCTCAGAAGGAATGACATGTCCTGTGTAACTGTCATTCAAGCTTCCTCCTAGATACAGTAACCTGGGAGTTCACTTACAGGGATGTAACTGGCATTGATGTAGTCAGAGCATGGGTCGTCGTCTACGTTGGACAACTTCACTCTTGACGTATCATCTGGAAGAAGATTTATTGAAAGGTTTGCTGCAGTGTCTGTATGGAATGATATTCCATATAGGCAATTCGGTATTAGATTGCCTTACCTCTGGCCCCATAGCAGCCTCAAGAGAAGTATTCCTATATCTGTCTAATAATTGGGGTTCCAACAGGGTAACTCAGGGCATGTGACATAGGTGACACATAAACAGTGGATGGAGGAGACAATGGGAAGCCCCATCTACTGTTTCCTTTGCAGCATTACAACCCTTGCTTAATGCAGCTGCCAGATCTTTCACTTCTGGAATGAATACTAGCCAGAAAAACCACCTTCTATTGCTTTACCTGACAGGGTGGGCTGCTTTTCTTAAAAATTGCTGACCAGAGACAGTGAAGTGAACCCAAGTGAGTCAATCAGAGCCCTACTCTTAACTTTGGTCATGTTCTGGGCCTCCAAGGAGGAAAAGTAAGAACAGTAAAGGGAGAGGCCAACTGTTCCTCTCAGAACCAGAATGTAAAATGGCCATTATCCTTGTGAGAGAAGTGCATGAGCATTTGAAACGTTCCTTACTAAAGTCATTTAGAGCCCAAGAGGGTACATATCCAGCTATTTTACACACGCACACATGCACACAAACACACGCACGCACGCACACACTCACACTCTTGCATATTCATGCTTGTGGTTTTTATGTGATAGCATCACAAGTTCTGACACAAAACTTACAGGGCAGTATGTTGTTATATCGATTTTTCCCTCTATTCTCAGGCAAGAGAGCAATGTCACATGGCTGGTTTCGACCCACATCTTTTAAGTCCTGTTAGGTTAAAAAAGAAAAAGTTTGCAAGTGGAGATTATAAAATAAGGCAACTCATATAACCCCTGAGATACGTAACAACATAAACATACAGGTGTACATGAATTACAGTTTACAGAACACCTGGTAGTCCATATGCATGGGCTCTGACCCTTTCCACAGCCCCACATGGGAGATGCTCCTAATACCATCCTACAGAAGGGCTTAAAGATGAGAACCACTATGCTCCAGGACATGCATGTGGCAGATCTGAGAATCGTGTTCAAAGCCTGTGTACTCTTTGCAATCTACACTGTTTCCAAGACAAGCAAATGTCCAAGTTGAGTAATTGACAGCATTGCATTGAAATTTGTTTTCTCTCCCCCACTGATCAGAAAGTACTTTGTTGGCTGTGCACGTCCAGCTCAAACTGGCTTCTGAGAACAGGTGGAAAATGTTGAGGAAGCTGTCTCAGACACAAACAGTGCTCTGCTGAGACTGTAGGTATCCCAACCATGACGTCACAATAACATTCAAGAGGGAATTCTACAGGTGGGGTGCACAAGCTTCCCTGGGTCTGCGTGGTACCTCATATTCCTTGGAGAGAAGGTAGTTGGAGTCAGCCTGCAGCTTCATGAAATGCCCTTCAAACTGATTTATCTTTATGGGGCTGTAATTAAAAACAAAACAAAAGGAAAAGAATGTTACTGAAGAAACAGGGAAAGTGCTATTACCAGTCTGAGTTGTATTTCAAAAACAGATTAATTAATATGTTTTCTCTTACCAAGAGGTTTTCCGGTTACTGTGAGACAGACAAAAAAGAAAGAGGGGCCCTGTTAGTAAATCTCACAGAATATCATCCTTCAGTAAGCAATGCAAAGGAAACTTTGGTACTTACCCTTTCTGGCCCAGATTCAAATGGACAGACAAAGGCCGATCTCTGTGGATGCTCAGGCGGGCAGATGGCCTTTCCCGGCCATGGCTGAAACATAGGACACAGATTTCTCTATTCTGGTTATGTTACAACATTCCCTGTTTATGGTAAGACTGTGAACACTTGTGCAAATGTGAAACTTTCAGATTCCATGGAGGTCTGCCCTCAGCTGACATCTCTTTGGGGGAAGAAGAGGAGATGGACCAACATAAAGTCATATTGCCCACTCAAGATTTGCCCATCTCTGGAAGATTTGTTTCCTGATGTTTGGCTACAGGTTATTATCGCTTTCTCACACTCAATAAAACTTTCCTTAAGAAAGTCCCCTAAACCAGAAAACTGCAATGCCAGGGAGAACATAAAGTGAGCAAAATCAATGACAGAAGAGAGCTCTGTCCTGGAAAGTTCACACTGGCTTTCTCATCTGTTTTAGTTCTTTCTGAAATTAGGGTGGCTGGTAAACCCCTAGATGGCCCTGCCAGTTGAACTTTCTAGGGCATGTCAGCAAAGCATGCAGGCACACAGGTTGGAAAAGTGTGTCTTAATAAGAATATGTACCAACCATTTTGCTGGTGCAAAAGGATTTGTTTCATATTTAAACAGACTTACTGATGGCCTCTCATTTGTTGGTGAGAGCCCAGTGCATCCGTGATTTGGAGGAAACCTGGAGAGCTATGAGTCACCGATTCAGAGTTTGACTCTTGTTTTCACTAATGAAACTCTGGGGATTTGACCTGGAGAAATGAAATTATTTTCCCCTTTTGGGCTAATGGGCATTTTTAGTAACATCTCTATGTTTGTGAACCTGATCTTCGTACTTACTTAACTTTCTGTCTGCAGATGAAGAAGGCGACAAGGGCCACCAGCATGCCGATTAGAAACAGGCCAGCACTCACTCCTTCAATAACTCCAAACAAGGGCTCTGTGATAACCCAGATGGAAACAACAAACAAAAAGAGAGGAAATTAGTGATAAGAAACCAATTTGACAGCTATGAAAGCTGTCTTCTTAAGTAATGTTATTCATGCTGTTCAAGATGCCAACAGTGAGGCATTGACTATCCTAAGGTCATGAGTAGCAGCTGAGGTGAAAGAGATGCCTACATCCTATTATAAACAGGTTGGTTTCAGAGTAATAGTTTAAGACTTTTGGAAATTGATGATATATGTCTTTTTTTAAAAAAAGCTTTTTAAATGGATTCTTTGTGGTTTTCACATCTTGCATCCCAATTCTTCTTATCTTGTGGTCCCCTCACACCCTCTCTGCTCTTGCAACCTCCCCTCTCAGGATGAAACTTAAAAGAAAAACCAAATAAACCAACCAAAGGAGGAGGAGGAGGAGGAGAAGGAGGAGGA